TTTAAGGTGATATTTGCTTTTCTCCATGTTGAAGTGAAATATACTCTGCTTTAAACTTTTCAAAACACAAATCTGTATAAATCTAAAGCCAAGGCTGTGTATATTTGGTCAAACTAAAGAGTCCTCAGGTGTTTTCATAGTTCTCTCCATCATCATCTTCTTTATGCTCTTAAGGAAAAATAAAAATAGAAAAACAAACATTACTTCTTTTAGAAACCTAAAAAAGAAAATAATTCAGCAGCATTTAATGGAATCACTGAATCACTATTTAACACCTCGAACTAAGTAACTTTTAAAGGTAACCCTGAGCTTTAGACATGTGATGTTCTGGTGCTCATAGGCCTTTTATACAAAAGCTGAATTCAGAAATTCCAGAATAGGAGATAAAGCCAGGCTCATGCATCTTAATCTGGGTTTAGTCAAAGAAGAGTCTGATCTTGTTACATGTTTGTCTTTTCCTTCCTGCAGCTTTGGGTTCAGTTGGTAAAGATCTAGAAGCACCTGAGAGGTGGAAGTGACAGCCTATAGAGCTGCTCCTGCAAAGTGTTTCTCTCACTGAGAGGCTGCTTGATAACCTGAGTCAGGTTGTTGTTGCAAACAACTTTTCACCTCATTATGTGCACTGTTACCATTATTCTGGGCAGATATTTTTCATCAATGTCAATATAATTTATCTTTTCACAGAGAATCTTAAATATCAAATAATCCAAATAGATCAGGCTAAGCCTTGACTGTAGAGCTTCCTTTTTTTGTTACCAATAATGAGACAGGTTGGTAAAAAATGTGTTCAAAAATGCAAATAGTGACAATAAAATCCCTAACTTTACATCAGTAACAGGTGGTAGATGAGGAAAAAACACAATAAACCAACTTTTTTGCACAGTAACTAATATTCTGAGATTTATACCAACTATATAATCATTCAAAAGTAAAGTGAGATTATAAATCTGCTCCATTTCTTTCTATCTTACCTTTATTTCTAGTCCAAATGCTGACGCTCACAACCGTTATAGAAAGAGCTGCTAAACCCACAGAGACGATGATGATATGCCATAAACCTGAAAGAGAAGAATATTGTTCTCATGTCGTTTTATATTGAATAATGTTTATGGTATTTAAGTCTGAAATTAAATAAAAGCAATATGTGAAACATACTGATTAGATTAGATTAGATTAGATTACCGTAGATTAGATTAGAGTAGATTAGATTAGATGAGCTTTATTGATCTCACAGTGGAGAAATTCACTCGTCACATATTGGTATAGAAGTTACAGAAGGTGCAAACAGG